ATGGAGGCACCAAAGTAGTTCTAGACAAGGATTCTTTCTTGTTTAGAGATGGTGACATTCTTGGAAAATCAGTAGAGTGAAGTAAATCACTGTTGAAATGGCATCACATAGTGCTGCCCATTCCACTGAGGTTCTGCCGTCTTTCATCATGTACATAATTTCCATGTCTTTTTTATAATAAACTGATATCTAAACTAAAAAAAAAAAAAAAAGATTTAAAAAAAAAAAAAAGCTGGGCCTGGTGGGGCATGCCTGTAATTCCAGGACTTGCGAGGCTGAGGCAGAAGGATCATTGTGAGTTCGAGACCAGCCTAGGGTACCAAGTGAGCTCAAGGCCAGCCTCAACTGCACAGCAAGACCGTCTTAAAAGAAAAAAAAAAAAAAAAAGGCTCCAGGCCCAGGCCCAGGGGATGATAATGCCTTAGGGTAGAACCCAGTAGCAGCTGCCAGTCAGTATGGGCCCAGTGGATCTGGAGGACGTGTGTGTGGCTGGGTGGGTCTCAAACACAAACATATGGAGATACTTGTCAGAGATTCCCTTCAACAAAAGTGCTAGTGACTACAGGGTACTTAGCACCCAGACCTTCTAACCCATGAGCTAACTCTGTCCAGAACAGAGGTGTGTACAAACAGTAAGTTGGCAAGGGCTCAGCATGAGGTGGAAGCACAAAGTTCTGTGCCCTTCCTCTGTGAAAGGTGGCACAAACAGGCAAGAGAAGCTGCACTTACTCAGACAAATCCACATTTATTTCACAAACACTGGGAGGGTGGGTTGAGAGGGTTGGGGGACACAGGTGCACAGGTGCAGTCACTATCAGCAGCCCATTCCCCCCACTGAGGATTCAGCCCAACTGTAGCGCCTCCATGTCGACAGGGACAGGTGAATGCAGGAAGGCCCTGAACACCAAGCTCCTGAAAGGCTAAGGGGCACAGCTCCAGCTGTCCCAAGAAAAACAGCAATAAATAAGGGCAGGGCATGGCCCCACCCACACACATCATTTAGTCACCCATCTTCACTCTGGAAGTCTGAAAAAGAAGAATGGGAAAAATCAGGCAGGGACAGAGGAACAGAACAGACAGATAACAAGATGACCAGACCAGGACAGTCACACAGGGACCACTTGAGCTGGCCTATGGAAGATATGGAGAGAAATGGCATATGGACCATGCTAGACACAAGTGCTAACCCAGTCAAGAACCCTTAGTCACATTATCTTTAGGTACAAGTCACAGACTATCAGGTAAATAAGACACAATTCAGACATGCTGTCCTACTGATCAGAATGTCACAGATCTTACACATAGGCCCTGAGAGACACAGAACATCAAGACTGATGGACACAGTTAAGATCTCAAACCGGGACAAATCAAAGTTAGCACGTGTATTTCTAGAAACAGCAAACAGAAAGATAACATAAACAACATAAAATGACAAAACAGAGGAACTAATTGTTATATATATATATATACACAAAGCAACAAGGAAAAAAAAACCAAACCAAAAATGGACAAAAACGAATTCAAAGCCTTAAGGAAGAAACCAAGAGATGAGAATGAGGTGGTGGTGGAAGCTTTCTGGGGTTTCTATGACCATGGGTAGAGAAGGAGAGCAGCTGGGCTCCTCTGGACAGTGGGTAAGGATGTGTTGGAGGAATCAAGAACACAGAAGCTCCCCAGGGGGATCCAGCACCTGAAGGATTGCGACGATGACGCCAAAGAGGCCGATGGCACTGCCAAAAATTTCCACGATGAGAATCTTTACAAAGAGGCTGGGATTCTGAGCGTCAGCCAGGGCGGCCCCACTGCCCACGATGCCCACGCAGACTCCACAGAAGAGATTAGACAGACCCACTGTGAGTCCAGCCCCAAACATGGAATAGCCTAGGAAACACACAGGGGCTCAATAAGGCAAAGCCAGGAACAAGAGGTGATGAAGACAAAAGCCCAACAGGGTCTAATGGGAACAATCCCAAACCAACTCTGCAAAGCAGGCCACAGTAGCTGAGAGAATATCAAAACGAGAAGTTCAAGCTATGAGGCTGCAGGAGGGGAGGTGTGAAGCCCCAGTTTCCACGTTCACAGACACACCCACCTACCTGCATGGTAGTTTCGATGGCCAATGGCATGGGGATCAGTGGCACTGAAAGGCTAAGAGGAGCAAAAGTCATGAGCAATCACTCATTATGCACCTACCCCCTCCCCCAATCTCTTAGCAATGTGTAGACACAATGGAATGGATGTCCACCTGCACCCAGGGTTTCCTTACCTCAGCCATGTTGCTAATCACAATTGCCATGATGATGCCATAGATGGCCACAGCCTCACAGAAAATGATGCTAGTAGTAACAATGGTAGAGACAAAAGTAAGGAAGAGAGAAAAGAGATGAGAAAGAAACCAGCCTTCCTCCCCAGAGAATCCCCAGCGACCTTTCCTCAACTCCCACCTGACCCTACCAGAAGGCTGGTTAGAAGTATCTAGTTTTTGTTTGCTTATTTGAGTGTGTGAGACAGGGTCTGGCTACTTAGTTCAGACTGACTTCAACTTCATGGAGATCCTTTGTCTTCCTACTACTGGGGATACAGGATGTGCTCCCATGCTCAGCTTCACAACTAGTTTTGGCACATACACTTACCTGACCAGGTTCTTTGTCTTGATTCTAGGGGCCTTCACACCTCCACCAATGATGGAGGAGCCTGTAATATAGATGCCCCTGGTGGAAGCAAAAGGAATTAATAAGCAGAGCCCAAGCTGTCACTGCTCCTGGGATGACTAAAAACCCAGTGATACCACCTTCCATGACTCAATCTTGTTCACTGTCCCACTATCCCAGCACTCACCAGGCTGCCCCAACCACAGACAGGGAGATTGCTAGGCCAATGCCCAGGTTTGACCACATGAAAGGGGAAGTCTCAGTCAGGAACCTAGTGTGGAAACAGGGAAAACAGCAATTCAGCTTTGCCCAAAAAGGAGGCACAAAACCCTTGTCCTCCCATCCTCCCTATCCCCACCAGTTAGAGATGCTGCAACAGATTCCATAGCTCTCAAATGTCCATGTCCTAGACAGCAGCTCCTAGTAGAGCCCTCTCTTACCATGCCACATCAAAACGGAAGCCCAAGTCAAAAATGGTGTAGCAGATTCCTGCAGCAGTGGAAAAAAAAAAAAAAAGTTACACTGGCTGCTCTATAACAAGCTCTTCAGCCTAGAGAAGTACAGCCTAGCTCATGGCCCACGTACATCCAAGTCAAGGGACAGTCGTCAGGATGCCCCAACCCTGCTTCGCTTCCATTTTCTGTCACTTTCAGGCCTCTCCCCTCAATGACACCATGACCCAAGCCCTTCCAAGAGCATGCCCCAGCAGGCCTAAATATCCTAGAGAAAAGGAGGGAGGGTGCAGGCGTTCCTTCCAGGACCCGCCGGATCCTGCTGGCCCAGTCCAAGCCGCTGTTTACCCAACAAGCTGTGAATGGGGAAGGGCAAAACGAAGGGAAGGAGGAAACAGAGCTGCGGGCTCGTGACCCACGCAGGCCGGAAGAGAGCAGGCAGGGACGACAGCGGGGAGATGGCGGTAAAGCAAGAGGCTAGCGCTGCTGTCGCGCTCCCCGCTACGGCCGCCCGCACTCCTGCTCAAGCAGCTGGGGCCTCTTTGGTCGGAATTAAAGGCCTCAAGAGACAGAGAGCAAGTCAGTGGCCTGGGCAGAGGCCCGGTACTCCTGCTGGACCTTTCCCCGAGGGGGCTCTTGCTCGGAGAGCTCGGGCTCCGATACTGCGCGCGCGCCCGCCCGCCCGGGCCCGGCCTCACCCACGACGACCATGCAGGCCCAGAAGGCCACGAAGACCCCGGAGTACAGCAGCGCTAGCCCCGTCATGGCGGCGACGGCGGCGGGGATCGGATCGGCGGGACACAGCCAAACCGCGTCCCTACGTCCACCGTCCGCCCCGCAGTCTGTCTACCCGCCCCGCAGGGTCACCTGATGTACCCACGTGACGCTCCAGCCCCACGTGACGCTGCTGCCCCACGGAGCATTGTGGTAGTTGT